AGTATAAACCCATGTTCATCCTCTTATTTGAATGATGTGAGACTTTGTTTGCATCCCAATAGATACTAAGGAACATAAATAATTTATTCATCTTAATTTGAAATATTTGAACTGAGTGTACTGGACGTCCAAATAGAAAGGACTAAATGAATCCAAAATATATATTAGCTAAAAATCCAATTTGTTCGATATATTAGATTGAGTTGAATTTTCAGTGTTAAAATCCAATTTCTAATCCAAAGAACATCAAGTTCAACTTAGATAAGTTGAATTTTATCTAAACACTCTAAAATCCCAAATTATCCCGGAGCATGTTTAATAGAAAAAGGCCCATATAAGACATTGAACAATTACAACAATAATTGAAGTAATAAAAAGTTATTACCTATGAAATCAATAGTGAGACCGCCATCAGAAATGTGAAAGATCGCAGGGAAATCACAATATTTTGTGGCAAATGCAGGGTTCAATATAACAAATAAATGCATTACAAGTGAAATGTGAAACGTGGCAATGCTTAAAGGAAAGTACTCCATTGCAGTAGATCGATAAGAAGGAGCCTTGCTTGGTTGGGTCTCTCTATATAACTAATTAATAATCTAATAGTAAAGTTGAACATGATTAGATTAGATTTGTAACAAATATTTTCATGACACGAGACAATTATATGATTATAGAGTACACAGATTTTTCTCCTAGGATTTTCCTTATCGGTCCCATTTTTAGCTACTATTGCAATAGGTTGATAGGTCACATATTTATGCAATTGATATGCTTGATAGGTTGTGCATATTTTTGTTAGAAATGTAGTTTTTTTTTAAATATATAAATTATATTTTTAATTTTAAATAAATAATTTATTTCATAACACTATTATTTTTAATTATAATTAACATATTTTAAAATATTAAATTTTGAAATTGGGTTTAACATATAAGGGAGCGATTAAGTTAATTTGATTGTTAATGTAAAAAATTGTGATAGATAATAAGTTCCTCCGTTGTCTGTTAGAGTCTTAAGGGACGAAAACCAGTTGTAGCTCTCAGAGCCGCTGCAAATCGCTGCAACTGAAAAGTGGGACGTGGCACCGCCGCGATAGTTGAAGGTAGATGAAGCAGTTGTTGTTAATGGGATCTAGGTCGTTCTCCTACTTTCCATCTCTTCTAAGGCTCGCTAACTCACATTCTCAAAGGTTACCGTTATTCTCACTTTTCTTCTCACATTATCATTTTTATTTTCTTTAAATATTGCAATACCTGAAATGAAATGCCTCGTCTCTCTCTGCGTGTTGCTCTTTTCAGGTCAAAACTATTTTATGGTTCAGCTACAACTGTACTACCAAATTGTTGCGATAGTCTTTCTCCCTTGAATTTTCAAGGTAATCTTTGGTTAGGATTTTTTGTTAATACCTGTTGGCTTGAACTGGTTATGCTTGTTTATTAATTAGAAGTAGCCATTTGATGTATTCATTTCTGAGTTTTTGATAGAAGACAAAAATCCTGATTTAATCTAATCACAGGAACCATTTTTTTTCTTTATTAATTTTTTTGCACTAAATCAAATGCATCTATATATTTCTTTTCCATAGTGTTTGTTTGGAGAAAAATAGTGGGGAAGAGGATGGGAGTAATTTTTTGGTTCAATTTTTAGTGGGGGGAGTAGTGGGGAATGGAGTGGAACAAAACCCCTCATTTCTTATCTGATTTTAACTCCCTTGCAATATTTGAGGGATATGAAGGGGAGGGGAACTTTTTTAAAACATTTGTAGTATAAAGTCTAAAATATTTTTAAATTCAAAATTTTAAGAGCACAAAGGTTAATTGATTTTTTAAATCTCTCCCTTCTTGAAAATTAAAGTATCTCTCATCTTCTCCACTCAATCAAACAAAATTTCTAACTCATCTTTTTCTCTCTTTTAAACCAAACAGACCCTTAGATTCGTTGGACATTGGAAATTATCCCTGTTTCTTTCCATGTAAAATTTGGTTTCATTGTCATTTGGCATGTTTTTCATTGGTCAAACTTTGGTAGAAAGTGAAGAACCAAATAAAAAAAGAAAGGGGCATTCTTTTTCATTTCTTTTCTCGATTATGTGATTTAATGCCAAAGTTCAAGATTCTACTCTTTTATTGCGTTCATACACTTCATACATACAATTAATATGGGTTATATGGTATCAGTTCCTTTGAACTAATGAACTGGATTTGCAGCATTGAGATCATATGCACATGATGCACGCAAAGGCTATGATCTCTTTGGCCGTGGAAGACCAGGGGATGAAGAGTTCAAAAAAGCCTGGACAAAGGAGATGGGTGAAGATAACACTCTATGGACAGGAAGTGAAGATGAAAGTGATGAAGAAATGGGTCCAAAGGGTCATCTTGATAAGGAGATAAGGAAAGCAAGACTGGAAGCTAAAAAACATTCAGACCTGATTGATGCTGATGACAGTGATGAGTTAAAAAGTGTCTGGTCTGGCAGTGATGAGGAGAAGACACTGTGGACTGGTGATGAAATGGATAGTGATGATGATATTCCTACAGAAGCTTTCCCAAATGAAAGTAGTGACAAGTACATAGATAAATTGTTTGAGTTTGATGAAATGCCCAAATATAGAACCATCTCTGAGATGTTGAAAGCTGAAGAAGAACCCGAGGAGTTGTCACCGGGAAAGCAAGCTAGAAAGGTTGCAGTTGAGAATGCTCTAAAGAAATTAAAGAAAGGTCCTGACGGGAGGTATACAAATGTGTGGGAGGTTATGAGTGATTTAGATATTCTAATTGGAGCATTTGAAAATGTTGTTTCTGGACCAGAGTATGCAGAGCTTAGACAAGGAGGGCCTAAGCAACTAAACATTCAGTTTTTCAAGGACATACAAGCACGTATGAGAGATTCAAATTATAAGTTCTCACCTGAGTTAAAACTGAAACCAAAGAGTAAACTGGTTTCTAGAAAGAAATGGCAAAAGGCAGAGTCCAGAAGGAGGAAAGCACGAAAGAGATAAAGGTATAGCATGTCTTCTCAACAATGAAGCAGAAGGTAGGTTTATAATGTTATTGTATCTTTGTACAGTACATGCTACTTAATTCATGAGAATCGTATTTATAAATTGATTGGTCATACTCGTTTCAAATGTTAAGCCAATATGTTCTGGTTGTAGACTAGTTATGTAAACTAATTGATCATTTTTATGAATGATATAATTAAACATTGTAGGTCGGTAAATCCTGTACATCAATGAAACACTCATTCAGTAATAAACATTGTAGGCAAGTTTGTCCACAAAATTTGGAGAAGAGGATCCTTTTAACTTGGCTCATCATATTCCTTGGGTTTTGCTGAAAAGAGAGTGTACTTAACAGATTAGCTATCTACAATGTGATTGTAGCTAGAGGAAGGTCTTTGCAAAGCTGAACCATAGCTTTCTTTAACTTTTGGTTGAAATACTGAGCTACTTGTCGTGTATTGTGTGTCCAAAATGATCTTGCACCCAATCATATGTCCTTTACCACCGGGATAATGAATTTAAATTAATAATAAATTAATTACAAAATAAAATATCTAAGAAGAGTATTGAACTACCATAACATTTTTTGAGAAAACCATTGATTATATCATGTGTAGTTGCATAATTGAATTTTGTTCCGCTTTCAACCAGATTTTTAGTTAACCGTATTTACATGATTAATTTGAGAAACCAAATTTTTCTAAGCATAGGAGAAAAAGATAGATTCTTTCTTTTAATATGTAGGAATCAAACTCAACGTTAAGAATATTACAATGACTCATACATCTCATTTAACTCAAGTTATACCCCTTTAGTAAAAAAGAGAGAGAGAGAGAGAATTGGTCTTGAGTGATATTGAAATCAAACATTTGGTTTAAATTTTATTATAAGATTCCCTGATATTAATGTGATTATAAGTTAGTGTAAATTTAATTTTCTAATTATATGCATTGAATTACATTATTTTTTTAAAAATTAAATCGTACTTTTGATCCTTTTTAATATTCAATCTGCAATTTTCATCTTACTTTTAATTCCAAAGTTTTAGTCTTTTAATTTTGTACAATATGCAATATTAGTTTAATAGGTAAATGTTTATCTATTAACTATAAAAAAATTATAATAGTTCACTTTTGATAATTAATATTTGATAATATTATTATTTAGTTTAAATTATACTTTTTTATCTTTATTTTACTTCCTATCATCACTTTTATAAGATTAAAATAAGGATTAAAAGAACAATTTAACTTAAATATTATTTATTACATTTATTTAATGTCAAGTTATGTTTAACATTATCATTTTATCAATAAAATTATTCGATAGTTGAACCAAAATTATAAATTTATTAAAATTGAAGATTAAAATTATGAAATTAAAAATTAATAAACTAAAATTTGTAGATTAAATATTATAAAAGGATTAAAAATGTAATTTAACCTTTTTAAAATTTATAACATTTATTTATTCGAGCAATGAAATGTATCATACTTTAATTTATTTTAACATAAATAAATCAATGAATGTGATGGATAATCACAATCTAATCTATTATAAACATTTTTCTCTAGCCTACATTTTTCATGCTTTATTATTGATTTTAAACTCAAATATGAAATGAAATTTTAAACGCTTTTTTATTAGTCTTTGAAACTTAATTCAAAATTTCACTTCATATTTTAAAAACATAAAATCGAAAGTTTGAGTTTTTTTTTTTAAACAATGAAAATAATGGAGATTAAATCAAAATTTTCATGGATCTACCCTAATTCTTACAGCTGGATATTATTACTAAGAGTTTGAAACTGGATGTTACTATGTTAGTGATGCCAAGAATCATAAAAAGAGAAAAACTTATCTATATACGACTCATTGATATGAAAATAATCCATATAATTCCTTAGAATAAAAAATATTGCAATTTTTTTTTTAAACAGAAGAAACAATAGTATTATTTAATTAAGTATTTACCAGGCGAGTAGAGAATAACTTATCCAATAAAAGCAACTAAAGCTCTAATCATATTCAGACTTGATATGGAATTCACTTTATTCATAATAGTTGTTGCATTGATAAAAGCAACTACAGCTCTAATTTTTGTGACATGCCATACTCAAAGGAAGGGGTGGCTCTGAGAAAGCCCCAGTAGAAATTTGATCAAAGATGAACTTGTTAGCAGCCTCAGTGTAATGGATCCCATCCCAATTCACTCTAACTGATGGCCTTTCACATGAACTCACAAAAATTTTAGTGCCATTGACATCTATGGTTCCTCCACATCCAACACTACTGCTATAGTTATATTCCCCTCCATAGCCACAACAAGCAACAAGTGGTAGCTCAAATCCTGCACAATGCACATCAATAAAACACTAAGACACTAACAAACATTATGGGAAATTTTGCCACAAAATTTGTATAACATGACAAGTTTAATTTGGCTTACCGTATTTCTTTGGATTGCTGAAAAGAGAGTACTTAACAGAGTAGATATCTACATATGTGATTGCAGCTTGAGGAAGGTCTTTCCGAAGTTGAACCACAGCTTCCTTTAACTTTTGGTTGAAATATTTGGCTACTTCGTTATATGGCTTTGCACAACCATAATCATCCCTTTCAGCTGATAGAAAATTGGCCAAAATGTATGAGAGGCAGCCAATGGGTCCTGTGTTGTGTATCCAAAATGATCTTGCTCCCAGATCATATATGTCCTTCATCACCACAATAATTAATTTAAAATAATAATAATAAATTAATAAACTGACTACACAATAAAGTATCTAACAAGGGTATTGATTATTGAACCACCTTAACATTTTTTGTGAAGGCATTGACTATATCAGGTACAGAAGCATTGACTTGTTGTATAGTCATGTTTTCAAAAAAGCCAGCACCAAGATCATTTTGACCGATATCAAATGTGTACAAAGCTTTATGAAAATACTCTTCTTTTGGCATCAAGCTTGCAAACACTCCTCCTACACAGAAAAATATTAGAACAAAATCAAACTAAACCATGTCCATATTATAATTTGCAACTTTACCTTCATGTCTAATAAATTGTGTTATGGGTATGAGGTCTTTGAATTGAGTATACTGAATACCAAGGTAGAAGGGACTGAATCCACCAAGAGGTATAACACTAGGTGGGAGTCTTATAGTTGATGCAGCTGTTGCAAAGTTTGCACCACGTGAAAAGTTGGTCCCCAGGGAATCAAGATATGCACTTAGATAAGGCAGTCCAAAACTATTGGCTGAAATAGCAAAATTAAAGATCAAAATTGGCGTTTTAAAACTTTTCTTTGGTGTTAAATTGATTAATGCTAAATTCCTATTGTGGTAAGTATAGGATGAGGGATGAATCTTAATTTGGCACAACCAAAAAGGATATTATGGTAAGTTAGGCATGTACATTTAATAAAAAGTGGAAAATGAAATAATGAGTACCTATGAAATCAATGATAAGACGTCCATCAGAGAATCTTCCAACAGGTCTGTGGAAATAGGTTTCTCCATAAGGTGGTGTTGGTGCAATAAGTGAAGCTGCCAAGCCACCAGTGTCTGAGTTTGAGTCACCAAAGTTGAAGATGGCCGGGAAAACACATTCTTTGGTTGCAAATACAATGTTTGGTACAATTGTAGCAATAGATAAAATCACAAAAAGAGACACTTGAGGGGTATGAAACTTAACAGGGCTACGAAAATCCATTGATGAATGGTGAGTAAGTCGGCAAAGCTGCCAAAGATCATAGGGGGACATGAAAAGGCACTTTGATGAATGGTGGGTCTTTATACTGTAAAGGTAGATTTTTTCAATCGAATTATAATATTAAGATTTAAATATATTCTTTTTTCATAAATTTAAAATTTTTATTTTTATTTCTATAATTCTTAAAAAATTTATTTTAGTCCATCAAATCACTAATAATATATTTAAAATTGATAAATTAAAATAATTATATAGAATCAACAAGACTTAATATAATTTTTTACTAATAAAAATACTAGTAAATAAATTTTATACAACAACTTAAATAAAATATTTTAAAATTATAAGAGCTAAAAAACCTAATTTTAATTTAAAAAATTAAAAATAAATTCAACTTAAGTTTTAAAGAACTAAAAACGTATTTAACTCTATTATTAATATTATTTTTCATTATTAAATCTCTTAAATACTTTTTTATAATTTACTTTTTGAGGGACCGTATCTGTCTCTGCAAAAATAAATAAATAACAATCCAAAAGTGAGAGAGAAAAATATATTAAAAAAGAGAGTAAAAATATGATAAGTGATATATATGATATAATAAGAAATGAGAGATGTTGATGAGATATATTTAACCGTATTCTTATAAATAAGAGAGGTTTTGGTACAGTTAGTCTTTTGAGCAACAATATTTAAATTTTTGTCATATTAGATTTATTTTGACTTAAAAGTTAATTTTAAATGCCCAAGTTATTTTATTTGTAAGGTGACTAGTATAATGTTGTAATTGTAAAACAAAAAACAAAAATCGCTTATACGATATGATTCTATTTATATTTTCATTGCTCTAAAATACTTCAATTTGTAAAGGTGCCATAGTTACTTCCATAAAAAAAAATTACGTGTACATCTTTAAGTTTGATTTTAAGTAATGTGCTGTCATAGATGGGAGAGATGATAGAAAATTATACTCAGATTTTTGGAAGTTTCAAGATTTTAAAGTTGAATTTTGTATTTGGACCATTTAAGTTGTGTACGAAATCACAAGTGGAAGAAGAAAATGAAGAGTATATAGGAATTAGGAAGTGATTGTGGGGCAGTGAGAAATGTTTGAACATAATTCTTTTTTTTACAAACATTATCCAGATTTAGAATTAATAATTGAAATTAATTTATACTCAAAAAAATATGGATCAAGTATTATTTTATTAAAAAAATATAAAAGAAATTCAATTCAGAAGAACAGATAAAATTTGTGTAGTGGTAATTTTCCTCCATCAATCGGATTCTTAACAATAAAAAATGGGATGCTATATATATATATATATCTTCATATATATCATTGTATATATTGAGATATTTCAAAAAAATTAATTTATTTACAAAATTATTTTGAGTGTAAATTTAAATTAAAAATAATTATTTTATTAATTATAAATTTTAAAATATAATTAATATTAATTCTAATGAATTAGAATACACTGATTATTGTAGTTTTGATTAATTTTAATTATTAAATATTTTAAAATTATTATTTTTTATTTTCATACTTAATTATAGTTACAACAATTAATATTTTTTTATCTGTAAATAACGAGAAATAAAAAAAGTCAAGTTTACATAATATTCTTTTTTTCATATTCTCTCTTTTTTAGGTGAAGAAGTTGTCAATTTTATATATATTCATCACATCCTTGTATTTGATTTAATAAATTAGATATTACTCGTACTCGTATCTATACTCAATATAATCTAGTATTTTTCATCAACGTCAAAGTGAATTAAAATATATTTATAAGTATGAGTTTACTTATCATCCCTAATTATAATTATTATTTAGTTGAAAAGTAAGCTTTACTCTATAAATACTCACCAAGGTACCTGTAAGCTTTACCGACCCTGCCGACACGTTTCGCCCCCATCTAGGAGTTGATAGAAAAAGTTTAGGAGGAGTGGTAGATGACTTCTCCTTAGCTTCTCTTTTGCTCGGATCTTCTTCAAGGAGATGGAAACCACAAAGATGAACACTAGATGGAGGAAGAATCTCGGATATAGAAGAGGCTTAAGCCTTGGATGGAAGCATCCAAACTTAAGGTGCAAGGGAAAGCTCACTTCAAAGAGGAGGAAAACCTAGTAGGGTTCCTAAGGTGAAGCTTTCTCTCATGGTGACTCTTGAACGAAATTTGGCTGAATAAGCTCTCAAATTTCATTATTCTCAAAAGTGAATACAAAAAGTGGAAGAATCACTTAAGTAGGGTTCCAAGTGTGCAACTTTGGGCGCCTAAATCCAAGGCTACATGTGGCGCCCAAAATTTGAATTCAAACTTGAAATTTGAATTCAAATTTTGGCTCCCATGTGCTAGTCCGAAAATTTAGGTGCCTAGATGCATTTAGGTTTGATTTGAGAGTTATTTAGGGTTAATTTGAGTGGCACATGTTCAGCCACCCATGGTGCTAAACATGTGACTCAAATGTAACTTAAATGACTTCCAAATTAAACCTAGTTTAACCTATTTTACCTATTTAAGTAATTCTTGTATATTCCTAATCTAATGACCTAAATACAATGGTCAAACAAATACAATGGAAAGGAAAAATTACAAGAATGAAAATGAGCCCAATATTGGGTACCAAAAGCCCAAAGGCCCATGAAGCCCAAAACTAGGCCCAACTAGCCTAAAACCTAAAATGCTACTCTATGTGGTCCAAAATACAAGACCAAAATATATGATACCTATACTAACATGATGTATACAAAACATATGAAAATAGCTATAACAAAATATGACCCATGAAAAATTCAACTTGGGCCTTCCCAGGCCCATTGGGCCCTGACTGACCCAAACCTTCATGTCTAGCCAACTCCTCTTGGATCTTTGAGTGTGTCACCTCTTGCATTCCCAAGTATGATTCCATTAGGAGTGGTCGGCGGGTTCGGGGTGATCGGAATATGTGTTCGAGGGTTCGGGTATTCGGCCTAAGTAACGGTCTCGGGTATTCAGACGGGTCGGCCACCATACGGTATAAGAAGCTTTCAAAAGCCAATTTTGATCTTTAATTTTGTAATTTTAGCCAACAGTTTCGGACTCCCTTATCTAAGTGCATATCTTGATTCCTTGGATACCAACTTTTCACATGGTGCAAACTTTGCAACATCTTTATCAGAAATTAGACTCCCAACTATTGTTTTACCTCAGGATGGATACAGTCCCTTCTACCTTGATGTTCAGTATACTCAATTCCAAAAGTTCAAACCCACAACACAATTCATCAGACATGAAGGTAAAGTTACATCTTATAACATGGACACGGTTTAGTCATGCTTTTGTTCTAATATTTTTGTGCAGGTACGGATGGAGAGTGACTTGCCTCACAACCATTTTACATATACATATTTTTTTTATAAAAAAATAATATATTTTAAAAAATGAAAGTTATATTTTAATAAAATAAATATATATATTTAAGTTATCATATGTATAAAATATAAATTTATAAAAATTGTTCATTTATTTGATATTTGTCAAACTTTTGAAAGAGATTAATTTTCGAATGTGATAAAGAATACTATTTAATAACAAATCAATTTATTTAAAAAGTTTAATATATATATATATATATATATTTTTAATGCTCACATATATAATATAATATATTAAAAAAATAATTTTTGATAAAATAAAATTTGCAGCATATATGTTTACCATCTGTGTTTTCTATTTATTGTATATATTGATTAAAAAAATCAAAATAGTAAAGATTGTAAGATTGTATACATTGATTAAAAAAATCAAAATAGGATAGATTCAAAGATTTATGTTTTATTTAGAATTTTTATTATAAAATATGTTTTGAAATAAATTATCTTCTAAAAATTTATATTAGATATTAAAAACATGTTTATATCATAAATAAATTAAACTTGATTTTATACAATTTAACATATTTATTATTTTTATGTTTTTATTAGTGTTAAATTATTATAAAGTAGACCTTTATGATTGTAGTTCTACCCAAATATTTAAAATATGTCTATGACAAATAAATAAGTCATATATAAAATATGTATTTTAAAAAAAAAGTTAGATTCAAATCTACTAAATTATAATATAATCTAGTCTGACCTAATTTATTTTCATCCTTAATTATAATCGTAGATATAAAAACTTGTAAAAAAAATAATTATGATATACATTTATACTTTCAAATAAGTATTGTTTTCACTGTCTAAATAAGTCAACATGTTTTTTTTTTTTTAATTTGTATGATAAAAAAATTAAAATTTAACTTTTAAAAGAATTAAAAAAAAAAACTAATGTAAGAAGATATAATCAAACTTTAGGAAGAGAAACGCATGCATATATAGTTTAGTTGGTAAACAAAGGGTCTATTAGACGAAAATGTTTTAAGTGTTCACCGAACAATCATATCCGCCATAGTTAAACTATCTGCTACTAGTTGATGCCATAGACATCGTGTATATTATGAAAACCTAATTTCCTTTTCTGTATTTGTTTTACTTTTCTTATTAATTTAAAAAAAAACTCTTAAAATACAATCAAACCTTAATGTAGCATAAAAAAAACTGAAGTATGAAACTTTATTATAGCTTAAACCTTTTGTATTATAAATATTTTAATTAATTATATTATTAATAATGTAATTTTTTTAAAAGAGTGTAATATATATTATTAAAATTGATAAGGTTAAAAAATAATGAAGTACAAAAAAGAAAAATAAATAAAGATATGAGAGGGAAGGAGAAAAAGAAACAAAATGAGAAAGAAAAGAGAAATATAAATAAAAATAAAAGAAGAGAGCGAAAAGAAGAAAGAGAAAAATAAAAGAAGAGAGAGAAAGAAGTTTTATGTTTTAAAAAAAAAATATTATAATCATTTTATATATATTAAATTTTCTCCATAATTCCATAAAGTTAAATTCTCATTCTTATCGAAATATTTTTATAAAAAAAGTGAGATAAAAATGAATTTTAAGAAATTACATTTCTGAACTTTAAAATTCTCAAGAATATAAAAATGTGTATCAAATATCCTAAATTTAAACTTAGTGATTTTAAATAAATAAGATTTTAAAAGAATCTGAATCTAACTTTTTTAAGTTTTAAAGAATCCCTATTTAAGGGTCCTCATTCCTAAGGATAGTGGAAGAAGGCCAATAAATTCAAAATGGTGCAAAGAAATGTATGGTGGAAATAAGGCTACCTTGATTGGACCAACAAATCATAGAAAAGGGAAATTGGGAGCATTTTGGAAATAACATAATTCGAATTATTTTTCTCTTTGTCTTGTATATACTTTGTATGACAGACTCTTTAGCCTTCCTTCATTATCAATTTTCTCGCCTTTTTTTCTTTTTCTTTTAATACTGTTTTTGATAACTAATTTCGTAATGTTTTTTTTAAGTGAATGAATATAAGATATAATGTATACAAGTTTCATATTTTAAATTTAAAAAAAAATCAATTTTTTTTAATAAAATTAAAAATGGTCATTACTCAAGAAAGACAATATTAACTCAAATTTTAAAGTTAAAAAATAAAAATAAATCTTTAAAAAAATATAGGATGAAAACAAACCTTCACAATAAAATCATTAAAAACAACTTAAAATGTATTTAAACCTATATATAAATAGCAACACACTTTAATATTGTTTAAAATCGTTAGAAATAACGAAATTATGCAAGATTCATTAAATAAGATGTTAAATTCACTTAATTGTATAATTTTCAATAAAATTTAACTAGCAAGAGAAAATGTGTTCAAAAGAGAGTGAAAAAGTATGCTTCTAGCATTCTCTCCAAAAAGTCAATATAGTCATTATCTCCCTTAAGAATATGCCTAAAAATAATATTCCAAGGTTTCTCTATCAACTCTTTAATATTATCAATAATGGTTGCATAGCTGTAATAGACAGAACATGACTGATTAATCAAAGATATATAACACGTACCCTGAGTCAGAGTAACAAACTATTGACAAAAAAAATTATTCTTTAAGCTATTTTCAAATCCTGAAGCATTGTTAACTACTGCAACGGGGTATTATTCTCTTATTTATCTAATTATAATTTAATTTTGTAAAATTTATTTTATTCAACCATAAAAGTAATATATAATTATATTTTCATATAATCTATTCGTGACATATTCATCATAACTTTTTTATTAAAATTAACTGATTAAATATGTTATTATAAAACTAACAGATTTGTGTAATTTATTTACTAAGAGTGGATTGAACCTGTTATAAGCTAATTTTATTAAAATTGTCATATCAAATGTTATTATAAAACTAACAGATTTATTACAATCTATATTGACTAAAATTAAGAAATTTAATAAATATGATATTAACTAAAAAATCATTAGCACAGATGATTTAATATTTGTATTCCTTGACCAACTATCAAAATTTAAACCCTTATCATTAAAATGAGCTACCACTATTTTTAATAAAACATGGTAGATTCAATCATTCAAATGATAAATCTGTTTTAACAGAATTACTTTATAAGTTTGCTCCATAAAATCCAACAGACTTTTTTTTAATAGAATTTAATTTATATTTTTTTTATATAAAAAATGAGATTTTAGTTGATAAATATGCTTTATAGAAGTAACAGATTTAATAAATAAAAATTATAAAACTGAACAGTTTTATTAAACTGTAATCTGTTTTTGTTTAAAACTGTCATATTTAATTTATAAATCTGTGTTTACAAAACTAACAAATATAACTTATAAATCTGTTTAAATTTACTAATAATAACGCGTGACTAAGGCTAGGATGGACAGGTGATCCACGATAGATCTTACTTTTTAACTGTTAAAATACTCTTATTCTCACACAGGATGTATGCACTTTAGTCATATATTATCAGTATAAAAAATTATTATCAATTAATGAAAAATTATGATTGTTATGACCTTTAAGATATAATTATTTTAAAAATAAACAAACTCAACATAAAGATTTATGATTAGTAGACTATGTAAAACTGCTTATCATGAAAGATGCACAGCATTTTTTCTTGATATTATAATCCCTAAAATGGACTGATATGACTAACATTTGTGATTCTTAACGAATATGGTGAGATTTTTTAATTCTTAATAAAAACTGTCATGTGAAAATGTAACATTGCAAGAGATATTGAGAGTATGAGATCTCAAAACCACCCGGCGACCCCTTTTTCCCAATAAACAAAAACAAAATTTCAAGCTAAACCTTTGAACAAAACACCCTCAAAAGAAAGTTGTTCTTGTCCATGTTAGGCTAAGATATTATAGATTAGACTACTAATTTGTCCGTAACTCTTGCCCACAAGCAATATATGTTGATTCTTAACATCTACTTCGTATTAATTGCTTGCCTAATCTAAAAAGTTTGGTAGAAATATTCATAACCAACCAATATTTCTTGTCAAATAAGTCAATGTCACAATGCAAATATGATGTTAAGATGCACCCTTGTAACATACTAATCAAACAATTCATTTAAAAGTAACTTTCATTCTTCTTTTCCTTAGTTTCTTTTTTCTTCCCAGTAATATAATATAATATTTTACTTCAGAAGTTTTGACAGTTTAGCAAACTTTATATAATCCCACACCTATAGTAATTTTAACTTACAACTCTTTCATACGGCTATTAATCACATTTTCATCAGGGAAAGCATAAAAACCTTGTCAAACCATCTGAATATATTAATGAACTTCTAACCTCCCTATCCCTTTGAATGTGTTAGAAGTACAATTTTTACCAGGCATTTCAATCAAACACAGGGATTCCAGATTCTTCAGAAGATGAAGGCTGTAAAGCACGAATGCGAATGTCATATTTTGTATGACTGACCGCTTTGGAGCTAGGAGATGATTCTGCTCCATCTGACACGAGACGGAAGGATGAAGTGAAACCATTGTATGCGTTTCCAATGTGGTTGCCACACTTGCGGCAAAGAAGCCGGGTTCTTCGGCGGAACAAGCCCCACGAGTGCTTATCGAAGTGGGGTATGCATTGAATTTCATCAACCTGAGTAAATCTGCTAAGATCAATACTGAAGAATGATATAATACCTCGCTTTATGGACTTCCCATATTTAGATCCGATTGATGAGGTGTTCCGGTTTGAGGAGGATAGGTTCAGCTCGTAACCACAAGTGCCACAGCTGCGAAATATATAAAGAAAAGATACTGTAATTGCAAAATCGAAAATAAAGAACCAGGATTCGTCACATGCAAGTCATACTCGGAATAACAAGCTTAGTCTTCAATTTATTGACTTAAAACAATTATAATGACTAAGGTAAATAATGCATTTGGAAGAAGGTGTGGTTATCATTACAACAAAACGTGTTTATAAATATATGGCTTGTTACAACAAAAGGAAACTGGATTGGAACATTTGTCTTCCAATTTTAAGTTCAACAAGCTCAAACTACAACACTCACCATCCCATGCTATCCAAAGCATCAAACATCCAGTCATTGATCAAGTCTTGGAAAATGAGTAAAAGAAATCACTAAAAAGACTTGGAACTTACGAGTGGAAGCTAACCAACTCCGTTTCAATTCAAGGTGTTTCATTGGTCAGAACTTGGCCAATTAAGACCCAACCAGAACTTGAGCAAGTTATTTGCGGCAATATGATGACAATTTAAAAACCGGTCATGTTCCTATCATTTTTCAGAAACATATATTCCATGAAAATCACATTAAAAACCTTTGGCATCATTCAAACTTCATTTTCTTCATTTTCTCTATACGATAGGGATTCTTGATGTGAACCAACATGTTTGAAAACCTATAAAACGGTAAGGCTAACTCTCATGATAAGGATTTTTTTTCGTATACAAGACTTGAACCCAAAATCATAAGGAGGAATCAAGCATGTACTACTTGACCCAACATGTGTTGATAAACTTCATATAACAAAAGCAAACTGCATCTACCCTTTTTGTCTTCTTTGCTTTTCTATTTCAAAGTGTTAATCTGTTACTCACATAACCTAAGAGAAGCAACTAAATAATTGTTTTTAAATGCTATGTGATAGAGAGCAAACAACCATTCCTTTCCCATTGAAAGGGGATCCACAATCTCAATCCAATACCATCTTAAACCCAGTTATAACTCAAAGAAAGGGCTATATTCCAATTTTCAAATGGTCCACAACTCTCCAGATAGCAACAATTTATTAGAACGATCTCTTTTCATGAGAAGGGGAAAAAGACAAACTATCTCAAACAGCCGTTACCAGATGCAAATTGTGATCACCGAGTAACTTCCAATCTCATTTTCACGTTTCAATCTCTCTAGAACGATCAAGTAATTCATACTCGTGAAAGTGACTCAAAACACCCAATCAATTGCTCTATCACAAGTCCCTATTTCACTCACAATCATTAAAAAAATTATAAATAAAAAAAAATCACCCCTTTAATAATGCAATTTATGATGATCACGATCATGCTAATTTAGTAATCACACCACAACTAATTCACCTAGGGTAAAAAATTAACAATGAATCTATATTTATAAACATAAAAAAAAAATAGAAAACAAAATATCACTATGATGATCGACAACACAGAAAAACCACCCCCGCGCCCCAACCTAACAATTGGATTGCAAATTACAAAAGAGAAGTCTTGAATTGTTTAACCTGAAGAAAAGAAGAAAAAAAAAGGAATTTAAGTAAAATTTGAGGAGAGATAGAAAGCGAACCCGTAACGAACATCTCTCTGGGAAGAGCAAGAGTGGTAGGAGTGAGTGCGGTTACAGTGCAATTCTCTTCTGAAGAGCGAATCATCCATGTGTCAGCGTTTTCCGGCGGCGGTGGAATGTGGAAGAGCCACCTTGGCGGCGAGGCACCGATGAAAGACAAGTCAATTATAGGAAAATAGTTGTTGTGTGAACAAAACGTGTCCCCGATTATTCGGAATCGCAAGTTTGACCGAACGACACCGTTTTACGTGGAACTGAGAGGTTTGGGTAAGGATCCGAGCTAGGAGAAGAAGATGTTAGATGAGGAAACTTAACTCTATGCAAGTGGGATTTCCATTTTATTTTCCAACTTTTTATTAATAATAATATTATTATTATTGTGTGATTCCGTTTTATTTCTTACTTTACGTTTTTGTTTGATTTGGAACTTTATGTTTATTTTTAGATTTTCTAACCATTTATGAATGATGAGTTCGTTAAGAAATGTGTGTGTATATATTAAAAAGAAAGAGAAAAAGAAACTAAAGTTATACTTTTGCAATTTATCTAATTTTTTATTTTTTTTTATTTTTTTATTTTATAAAAAATCATTTTGATCATTTTTTAAAAAATTATATTAATATTTTTTACAGGAAAAAAAAAAGCGACGCTAACTACCAAACATAGTGTCTTTTAAAAAGACATGAAAATTATTCTAAAATAAATTATTAATAAATAATAATATTTTTTTACTATAATATAAATTATTTATCAAAAATTTAATATATAATTTATACATTTTAAAATATTTATTTATATAAAGAAAGGTTTAAAAAGTAGAAACTGCTAAATATCACAATTAATTAAAAATAAGATAATAAATAAATAAAAACTAATTTAGAAATAATTATAAGGATAAATTAGTTTAAATTTTGTATATATCAAGAAAAAGTATTTTCTTTATTAAATAGTATTAATAGTATAGGTAAGTATATAGGTATATTATTTCCTTTTCTAATTATAAGTAACATAAAGATAAATCATCAAAATAAAAAAAAATTAATATTATTACTTTTAGTTAATTATATCATAAGTTTAAGTTTTATTCTAAATATATTCTTTATTTTAAGTAACTGTTATATTTAATGTCAATTATAAATGAAAGTATAGGAAATAAAATTAATAATAATTGAATGATATAAAGGAAATTTAATCTGGAGTAACTTTAAAAATTAGTGAATATTTTTTATAGTTAAAAAGATAATTATTTGTTACTTCTAATTATTAACAGAGATAATTGTAATTTATTATAAATTTTAGTCATATAAAACAAATATTTAACATATAAAATAAATATAATAAAAATACTAGTTGTATTAGAGTTAATTCTTAATTAGTTAATAGTCAATTCTTATATATTAAATGCAAATTGCACTTATCTTATGTAATTGTATTTTTAGAAATTATTCTTTAATAAGAGTATTTATAGGGATTGTCAAAAATTTCATACAAATTAGATTCACATTCCACTTTCTTAAGTGAAATTCTTATAACATATCAAATATGGATAACTATCTTGTAGGAATTTTTTTTTACCAAAGTGTTTTAAAGAATTTAACTTTTTATTTAACTTATTTTTTATTTATCATATTTATTTATAAATCAAATTTTAATAATTTAAAGATAAAATATAAATAATTAAAAATAATTTTATGTTGTAATATAAATTATTTATTATATATAAAAATATAATTTATATGTTTAAAAATATCTAATTATACATGATTTATTTATATATACTTTATTGTTAATTTTAACTCTATATATAATAAACATTTTAAGTCTATGAAATGCAGGAACTAAATATTAGTTATACTAAAATATTATTTATATTAAAGTTAATTCTTAATTAGTTTTTCTTCTTTTTTTTTAAGAATTATTAATTAATTAATAGTGTAAAAAAATTTTAATTGATGGTATATATTTATTAAACTCTTTATTGTATTTGAGTTTTTTTTTTATCGATTTATAATGACTTTTGTATCAAATAATTTATTAGTTTTTTAATATTTTAGGATAGAGATTTTTTTTAATTTACAAAAAAAAAAGTTACAAAAACGGACTGCAATAAAGATGAGACTTAAATTTTCAGTCTTTTACTGTAACCCTTTTCTCCGATCACTAAGCTAACTATGGTACTTTACAACTGATTTTATTAAAAGAAAAAAAAATTATATTAAAAGTATAAATATTTGTAATTGTTTAAAATAAAAGGTCTCGAAACCAAACCCTCCAGAGGTCACAAAAAAGCCATCTTCAACTTTTGGCTTTGGCTTCGACTTTACAACCTCTGTAGTGTACACACGTGGCACCAATTCAGAGTGTAAAAAAATATATGGACACAAATTAATTATTATAATAAAAAATAGAGTTAATCACCTATACATTATCGGTGTAAAAATTTTTTATACTGACAACCAATCAGATCTTTTAATAGTTTCATGTCAATTGCTTATTTAATGAAATAAAAATAAAAGAAAATAATTTAAAAGATCTGATTGGTTGTCGATGTAAAAAATACTTTATACTAACAGTATATTAATGATTAACTCAAAAAGAATATATATATGGAAAATGAAATGAGTACCTTGGTGGGAGGGTGTTTGGTCTCTGTTTTGAAAATAGGCAAAGTTGTGAATGAATAAGAATGTGAAGGATTGAAAAAGAGAGGAGAGATGTACCCAAACTTATAACTTTGAGATCGCTCTTCAATGCTTCCAAATTAATGCTTGATGAAGTACGAATTATGACAATCGAATTGTTTTGTATTAATTTAATTGCCAAAGTTACAGAGATTCTGTATTAATTTAATTATTTAATGCTTCCCATTTACGATACCTAATTCAAAAAAAAATAAATTAATTGATGATAACAAATTTATTATATATATATATATATATAAATTATTCTGTTTATCTTTTTTAATTAATAGTCATATATTTTCTAATTAATTAGACTATAGTATACTACTTTTCTCTTATAGTTAATACTCATCTTTTTCGTAATTGAATAGAATGCGTATTCTTTAAAAAAATTTATAATTAATATATTTTATCAAGAGAACAAATTTTAATCAAAGATAATTTAATCAAAAAATAAATAATATATGAAATAACATGAATTGGATTTATATAATAAAAAAAAACAAATAAACTTTTTAAGTTAGAATCTTATAAATAGAAAAAGAAATAACATTTTCCATTCGAATTCTCTTAAAAATGACAATGATCAACTTATTCTAAGAATAATTTATGTTTATTAAATTTCTATAATTTAACTTTAAATTAAATATTATTATTATTAAATAAATTGTACAAGTTATAAATTTTATAAAAAATAATTGACAGCCAAGTTCTTATATAATTATAAATTTGTTTGATATAATATACTTTTTAATATATAAGTAAATATTGAGTATAAAATCTCTGATTAATCAAAAGTTTAGTATAAATTATCATTGAAATAATATCAAAAATATATTTAACAATTATATTATTAAATTTAATATATAAAATAATTTTTAAACAAAATAGTTAATGTGTGTTTATAATTATTTTTATAAAGTTGGAAATTCAAAACTTATGATTATCAGCAAATTTTTCTAGCTGATTTACTATATAAAATTATTTTCTTTATTATATCAAAATAATTTAAACATCTTAAAATTATTTAAATATAAAATTTATCTAATTAAAATTTAATTTGATAATAATCAATTATTAAAATAATATAATTTAAAGTTTTTGGATACACATCCTTAAACACCATACTTTCACACATCTTCAAGCCGAATTCCAATAACGCTTCTAACATGAAGTATTGAAAGCAATGCTTCATCCATGAGTCATTAAAATGATCTGCAATAACAAGTTTTGCAACTTATTATTAATTGTAAAATAATCTTTATGTTAAATAGTTTTATGCCGGTGGAGGATCAGAAGGTGGCGGTGGATGAGGAAGGCGATGCAGGGCCGGGGGGTGGGAACCAGATGGTGGGAGTGGTGGCAGCGACGGTGGTGTTGGGCGCCACCGTGGGTGGTGGCTGAAACCCTTTATGTATGTAACCAAAATATTGAAACCCTTTATCTATATATATATAGAGAGAGAGATGAATTTTATCTTGTGCAATGTGCACGCAAAAATATTTATTATATATGTAACTAAATTTTTATAATAAATTATATACACATAGATATTATGTTTAAATATATAAAACACATTTAAAATTATATAAATAAATATTTTAAACATATAAATTATATTTTAAATTTATGATAAATAAATATTTATCATAACATGATATTATTTTTATTTATTGATTAATTATTTTAAAAATATTAAAATTTAATTTATAAATAATTATGATACAATAAAATTATATAAAAAACATTAAAAACTTTTTTGTCAAAAAAAAAAACTCTTAAAAAAACTCTTACATAATATAGAGATTCATGTTTCAATTATTTTAACTTTGGGGTGTTTGATATTGCTTAAGTTTAGTTGCAACATGCATGTCTAACAAATTTCATGCCATTTATGAGATTTGTCCTGAGATGGAAAGCGATGGTTAGGGTTCTCCGATTATGGGTGGCATCTAATATAAACAACAAAAAATCCTTTATCCATAGAGTTGGTATTTTGATAGATAATGAGACTATAATTATTCTAATACGTATTTCTCTTTTGTAAAATGAGGTATTTTATAATAATTTATCAAGGTTTAATAATTTCAAGCATCCTTCGTAATGGATCGAAGGCTTATTGACTAGAGAAAATTTTAGAAAAGTTAAAGATAATAATTTGGAGAGTCTAATGAATTCAATACTTAGTACTAAAAATGTAATTGTGAGTTAAACTTTATTTTGGTAGATTATATAATCTTATTTTAATATGTGTGACTACACATATTTCACGTCTCACTTTATCGAAATGTCAAAGACATAATTCCCATTATACAAGAAGGATAAATCCTTCTTACATCACTCACATTGTCCACTTGATTTATTGTAAGTCTAATTAACTAACTTTACAATTAACCTGTTACGTATATGTTTGATAACACCAAAGCCTATAACTCCTACATGTAAGAATTATTATGACTTCAAGTTAAATAATTACTTAACTATGATCGTCATGAGAAGTGCTTATGTTACTTGCATAATTATTATAAAGCCATTTTATAGTGAGTGCATCCAATATAAATATTACTTTTAATATTTATAATTGTATGTGTGACTTGATATCTCATATTTATGACATGTAAGATGAGATCATCAGTCAACTTATACAATAATTTTAATGTATTATAAATTATCGTCCTTGTTAATAA